GCTGCCTTTTTTTTGTCTTCATGGCTTTAGAGAACTTGGTTTCCCACAGGTGTACAGTTTACACTGATGTTTTCAATTACCATGCGTGTCTATTCAGTAGGATGCTACCTGACTGAAAACATGTTATGTAGGGCTCTTAAGATAAGGCATGAAGAAGGAGATAAGGCTTTAATCACAGTAGATTCTGTAACAGCTTCTCTTAAAGAGTTATCAAAGTTTCCGATCCAATGTACCTGTGTCTCTTAAAGTTAACCAAAAAACCGTGTGAATATGAGTTTTCCCAGAGTTGGAGGCAGGAAGCAAGTGAAAGGTTTATATGAGTCTATCTGATGTGAGTTTATCTGAGTTTATCATAAACTGGCTGAGAAGTAAGTTCATTCCTTTTTAGCTTTGACGGTGCCCTTATAGCTCTTTTTTCCCCTGCCAACATGTTGAAGTGACATTTGTCATTTTACCTTCTTCCCTGCTATGGTGTGCTGGTCTATGTGTGCTACGGTGTTATATTTTATAGTAAAATTTCCCTGTACATTTACAGGCATGTTCCCCCACATATTTCTTCATGAATATGGCAAAAAACCTTTCTTGATAAAGTCGAATTTACTAAGGTATTTCAAAGACCTTGAATAAAAAATAGAATGTAGAGTTAAGTACAGTGCTGTGTTAGCTCCATATGATCTTTGGCAAAATTAAGAGTTTCCATGGTGTTTATCCTTCCTGGTGCTATGTTTAAGGATAGGGTTGGAGTTCAAACGTGGTCATCATTTTCCTATTATCATTGTATCAATTCAACCCCCATTTGTACCTTTTTATATTATCATTTTACACACATTTATCACCTTGCTTGATACGTATATGTAAATCTTCTTTTAAGAAATTCAGTATTTTATGGCTGAAGCACAGAGATTAACTTCTTTCTTAAAGTGTCACAGTGAATTGAATGACTCATGAGTTGGTTGGTCACTGTGTCTTGTTTAACTTCTCTCAAGCATGCTTTATAGTTTCTGTGTACAGATTTGCACATATTTTGTCAGATGTGTCACTAAATATTTTATATTGCTTGAAACTTATAAACGGTGTTATTTTTAATTTAAATTTGATTGTTGTTAGTATCTGAAAATGCAAATGATTTTTGTATATTGGTCTTATATCTTGCACCCTTGATAAACTTATTAATTCTACTGTTTTTGCTTTTTACTCGGTAGATTTCATTCCACATAGGTGATAATGTCTTCTGTGAATAAAGGTGGTCTTATTTCTTCCTATTTCAATGTGGATGTTTTTTATTTCTTTTTCTTGCCTTGTGACGTTGTCTGGAGCTTGTAATACAATGCTGAGTCAACATGATGAGAGTGGACATCCTGCTCTTGGGAGAAAGGCATTCAGTTTAACCGTTACTGTTGGCTTAGAATCTAGGGCTCCCTAACTGAATGCCTGTGACCGAGTCTTGTATGAGCTTCCAGTCAAGCAGGGGCTGGGGCTGGGGTCACACTCGAAGGCTCACGCATGTGGTTGTTGGCGGTCCTTCTCATAAGTGCGCCTCTCTGCAGAAGCGCTTGCTGACGTGGCTGCTGACTTTGCCTTGGGATAGTGACCTAGGAGGAAGGGGATGGAGTGAGGAGGTACCAGCACAAGAAGCCACGTTCTTTCTATAATCTTCTCTCAGAAGTGACGGCCCGTGATTTCTGCTATATTCTGTTTATTGGATATAAGTCAGCAAATAGAGCCCACATGGGAGATCTGCAGACTAAACAAGAGTATGGCTACCTGTGAGTGGCCATCACTGGGAGCCGTTTCAGAGATTTCTGATGTTGTGTATTAAAATGGTGAATTACACATTTTTGAGTGTTAAGCCAACCTTGCCTTCCTGGGATTAATACCACTTTTTCCTTACTTATTATCCTTTTTATATATTGTTGGATTCAGTTTGTTGAAAATATGCCAGTAATTTTTAATCTATGTTCATGAGAGAAACGGATCTGTAGTTTTCTTGTTTTTATCTGGCTTTAGTGATAGAATGATGCTGGCTTCATATGATGAGTGAGGAAGTATCCCCTTCTCTTCAATATTTTGGAAGAGTTTCTGTGAAATTGGTGTTTTTTCTCTTAATGTTTGGTTTACTTCATCAGCAATCTTTTCTGGTCCTGGCATTTTCTTTGTGATAAGGTTTTTGGTTATACCTTTGATTTCTTTGAAATCACTTTGATTTCAAGTGAGCTTTGGTAGTTTTTGTCTTTCAAGGAATTTGCTTCATCTAAGTTGCTGAACTTATTGGCATAAAGTTGTAGATAACATCTGTTGAATGTGTAGTGATGTTGTCTCTCTTATTTCTGTTGTCGGCGATGCATGTTATTTACCTTTCTTTCTCATCAGTCTGGCTAGAGGTGTATCAGTTTGGTTTTTAATCTTCTCTGAAAACTAGCTTTTGGTTTCATTGATTTTCTTTGTGGTTTTTCATTTTCTGTTTCATTTATTTCCATGGTGATGTATTTTCATTATTTTTAATTCTCTGCTTATTTCAGGTTTTAATACCTGTTCTTTTTCTGGCTAGTATTTTAAGGGGTCCTCTTTTTTATAAAAATTGTATTTATTTCTTTGGCTGCCTGGGGTCTTAGTTGTGGCACGCAGGACCTTCTGTTGCGCTGTCTGGGCTTTCTCGTTGTGGTGCGTCAGCTTAGTTGCTCTGAGGTGTGTGGGACTCTGTTCCCTGACCAGGGGTCAAACCTGCGTCCCCTGCATTGCAAGGCAGATTCTTAGCCACTGAACCACGAGGAATCCCGTAAGGTGTGCCCTGACTACTTTGAGACTTTTTTTTTCCTACTCAATGCATTTACTATTATAAATTTTCCTACAGTTAAAATACTATTTAAGCTGTATCTATTTTGATATTCTGTTCAAGAGATTTTATTCATTTAATTCAAGAAACGTTCTAATTCCCCTATTGTTTAGTTTCCAAAAATTTCCTGTCTTCTCTTTTAAAGTACTTTTTTCCCTCTGGCACCTTTTTAATATATTCTCTTTTTTACTGGTTTTAAGCAGTTTGATTTTGATGTATCTTCATGTTATTTTCTCTAGATTTCTTATATTTAGGGTTCATTGACTCCTCAGGTTCATGTGTTTAAATGTTGTAATTCAGTTGCCTCAGTGAGATGAGTGGTTTCATGTCCATATCACATCTACTGCCTCTTGCTTTCGTATCTGAATGAGGAGCACATGAGCTCTTAAAAGTAATGAATGCATTTAATATTGTGATAAATCGTTAGTTCTTGATCAGGAGTAGAGGACTCTGTCTTATCTTTTAAAGATAGCTTCAGCAGTTTTGTGATATTGTAAAAAATATGTTGCTCTCCTTCTTATTGGATTTGATTAAAATTCAACCTATGCTTGGTAGTTCAGATACACTCCTAGGACAGAGTTGATACTTAGTATTTAATCCAAATTTTGCTTCAATAACTTGAAATAATTTACTATTTCACCTTACTATTTTCAAAAAATTACATGTCATGCATGTTTATTATACAGTTCAAAAAATACAGGGGTGTGTAAAAAATAAGTAATCTTACCCTTTGCCCCTTCAGTTCTGCTTATCTGGAGGTATCTTAACACTTTGGTGTATTTCCTTCTATACCTTTATATTAATGTGTGCTCATACATATACATGCAAATATCTCTGTCTTTTATATATATATATTTATCTATTTATATCCATACACATAGCTTCATTTCTTTCCAGTATGGAATCATCCTATATGTATTACTCAGACACTTAAATGTTTACCTTAACAATATGAGATTTTCTTAGTTACCGTCTGTTTCCCTGCTTTCTTAAATAGGAATGTGGAAACTTTTCACAAGAAGAAAAAGTAAAACTTTAAAGGCAAATTCAGAGTTATCTTTTCTTTCAACCGCATAATAAAGTTACCTTACTTTACAGGCAGGCTAGAGGCCATGAAGTTACTAAGTAAAAATGTCTCGGGAATATATGGAGAATGAAAGAGCTGGAGTGTACAAAAATCAGAGAGACTAAAATAAAATGAGAGTGGTTCAGATTATGCTGGAAGAGAATGAGTAAAACTGAGAAGGAAATGGGGTATAGTGGAATAATACAAACAAAATTTTGAAATGAGTGTCATTCCATGTTTTTCTTTGTGGTATTATTTTTTCCTTTTCATCTCTTAGTTTTAGATTAGAAAAAACATTGCTTTCAACTTTCAGTATCTCTAACCATTAGCCCTTTTATATGCTCCATTCTAGTTTAGAGATGAAATCAAAATGGGTATAGATTTTAAACATGTATTCAAGCTTTAAGGTTTTGAAGAACATAGTGATGTTTTTCTCTAGCCATGTTAGTTGCTTCTGTGATGGCCCATCAATTAAAATGCACTTCTGAATTAATTGAACTGATTTTTTAAAAAAATTAAGACAAATTATCCGTCTTTTAATGATTCAGAAGTAATCCCACTTGCAGTCAGGTGGTAAAATATATGACAGCGTTTGAGAACCGCCTTAAGGCACTAGGAGTCTAGGTGTTAACGCTTCCTGTTTTAGGGATAACATTTTTAGTGTCAGCCCTCAGCGAATATAACCAAAGTGTTAGTTGCTCAGTCCTTCCGACTTGCTCAGTCTGTCTGACTCTTTGCGACCCTGCCAGGCTCCTCTGTCCATGGAATTCTCCAGGCAAGAATACTGCAGTAGGTAGCCATTCCCTTCTCTAGGGGATCTTCCCAACCCAAGGATTGAACCTGGGTCCTGCATTGCAGGCAGATTATTTACCGTCTGAGCCACCAGGGAAACCCCCAGCAAGTATGATAAGTGGAATGGTGATGGCGAGTTTTCCATATTGTGGTTTAAGCTGGGGTAGCTTTTAGAATATAGTCTTTGGGGGTATTTCCTGAGATTAAAAACGGGCATGCTTTGTAGGATAATAAATCTTCATGTGTAGTGATATTAAAGTTTCAGTGGAGCGATCTGAGTTTAATTTCTCTCTCTTTTCTTCCCCCTAGATATGTGTCACAAAGATGTCCACACAAAACTGCCCAGGAATGGACTCAGTGATCAAACCCCTGGACACAATTCCTGAGGATAAGAAAGTCAGGGTTCAGAGGACACAGAGCACTTTTGACCCATTTGAGAAACCCACTAATCAAGTAAAGAGGGTGCATTCTGAGAACAATGCTTGCATTAACTTTAATAAGAGCTCCTCCGCAGGCAAAGAGTCTCCTAAGGTTCGGCGGCACTCCAGCCCCAGCTCGGTGAGTGCGGTCTTCCCACTTATGGGCGATGGGCGAGCAGAGCAAGTGTCCCTCTTGCAGCAGCGGCATGCTGTGTGGCTGTATCACTGCATTATTATGCAGTCTCTCCTTGGGTGGTTCACCATTTTCTGGAAGAGAGTGTGTGCAGGCATGCACAAGTACCAACTACATATACAAACTCTTGACTCACAGGCACCCAGCAAGCCAATGAGAAATGATTAAACTTATTTTTGGAAAAATTATTTTTTTTCCCCCAGCTGTTTCCAGTTAGAGGAATTTGTCATTTAAACTCCTTGGGTAATTCAAACCCTTTTTTCAAACTTTACTGTGTTGGCAGGCAGTAAGGATAGTTTTGAATTTGGCAGATTCACAAAGAATTTCATTTCAGAATACTTGTTAAAATTTGTTCACTTGTCTTATTACAGTTGATTTTCAGTCAATATTTTAAAAATTAGGAGCTAGACATTGAAATTGATCTTATAAAGAGAAATCTTATTCATCACAAGGAAATTTTCTGAGGTCAAACTGTATTAAAGTAAGTCTTGCCTTTGGGCCCAAGAAGGTATAAAGTTCTGAGATGATTGCTGGATTTTGACTGTAAAGAATTTTATTGAAACTCATCTTTCCAAGACTGGCCTGCATTTAACATGGTTTAAAAAAAAAAGTCTTATGATCTTTCGAAATTCAGTAATTTTCAGATTTAACCCACACTTAAGAACTTTATGACATAGTCTAAGAATTTAAAGGGTAAGAGAAGAGTGCTAAGAGAATTTTGATTCTGTCATCTTGCTAAGAAACATATTCCATTTCACAAACTTTAAATATTAAATTCCATGATGGTCAAAAAAGAGCAAGAAATGTCAGCTGCTAGAATATTGACACTTCAATTTAATTAAAGTGTGGAATACTATGTAAATCTTGTGTCACAGGTTTTTTGTTGTTGTTGCTGCTGTTAATGAAGTGAAAATAAGTATTGTTAATGCAACATTTTTGAGGAGAATTGATTATCTGCTGCTGCTAAGTCACTTCGGTCGTGTCCGGCTCTGTGCGACCCCATAGATGGCAGCCCACCAGGCTCCCCCGCCCCTGGGATTCTCCAGGCAAGAACACTGGAGTGGGTTGCCATTTCCTTCTCCAATGCAGGAAAGTGAAAAGTGAAAGTGAAGCCGCTCAGTCATGTCCGACTCCTAGCGACCCCAGGGACTGCAGCCTACCAGGCTCCTCCGTCCATGGGATTTTCCAGGCAAGAGTACTGGAGTGGGGTGCCATTGCCTTCTCCGATTGATTATCTAGTTTTCCCCAAATTGGTCCCTGTAATCTTATCTATGATTGCAGTGTAGTGTCTTCCTAGGTCACACATACAACACTAACACTTGGGAAAATGTTTAGATTTAGTATCATTTAGAGGAAATGAAAAGAATCTTTGAGAATGATTAAACTTCTGTTATGGCAAGAGAATTATATATTTATTTTACTATATATATTATTTGTTCAGTTGTGTCAGACTCTTTGTGACCACATGGACTGTGCCTGCCAGGCTCCTCTGTCCATGGAATTCTCCAGACAAGAATACTGGAGTAGCCATTTCCTTCTCCAGGGGATCTTCCTGACCCAGGAATCAAACCTAGGTCTCTTGCAGTGCAAGCAGATTCCTTACCACCTGAACCAGGGAAGCCCTGTTTTACTGTATAGTTATCTTAATAATGTTATTTGTCACTCTACATGATATATAGAAATCGGTATGAGATATTGCAATGAGGCAAACTTATTCAGTGTTTTATATGAAAATCAAATTAAACTAGTTATTCTGTATTTTATCTTCAATCCTAGTTATTGTCCAATGGTGCATTATTTCTTTTGTTCCTCAGATTGCTCCTGCTTTAGTCATTGGTCATTGGGAGCTCTTTTAGGTTGGCCCCTGTATCCTTTTGAGATGTCTCGTCCCCCTTTTTTTACGTTGTTGAAATGTTTATTATTTATTTATTTATTTATTTTTAATTGAAGGATAATTGCTTTACAGTATTGTGTTGGTTTCTGCCATACATCAACATGAATCAGCCTTGGATATACTATGTCCTCCCTCTTGAACCTCCCTCCCACCTCCCACCCTACCCCTCCCCTCTAGATTGTCACACAGCACTGGCTTCGAGTCCCCTGTGTCATCCTACAAACTCCCGCTGGCTATCTGTTTTATATATGGTAATGTTTGTGTTTCAATGCTACTCTTAATTTGTCCCATGTACCCTTTTAAAAAACATTTTAAAAAAAATTAAAAAAAAATTTTTTTAAATATTTTATTACTTTTAATTGATCATTAGTTTACAATATTGGTTTGATTTCTGTCATACATCAACATGAATTAGCCATAGGTGTACATATGTCCCCTCCCTCTTGAATCTTCTTCCCACCCCTCTAGGTTATTACAGAGCCCTAGTTTGACTTCCCTCAGTCATATTGCAGATTCCCATTGGCTGGAAAAGACGCATGTACCCCAATATGCATTGCAGCACTGTTTACAACAGCCAAGACATGGAAGCAACCTAGATGTTCATCGACAGGTGAATAGATAAAGAAGCTGTGGGACATACATATAATGGAATACTACTCAGCCATATAAGGAATGCATTTGAGTCGGTTCTAATGAGGTGGATGAACCTAAGCCTATTATGCAGAGTATTCTCTGAGCACTTCTATACTTTCTTGTCCTACAAGTTGCTCTTGGCTTACCTTGTATTTTCCCAGTCCCAGCCCCAGATTCAGCCATTTCTGCAGAGAGCCCTGTTTCCTTTTATTGCAGCATGGTGTTTAGAAACCAGGATTGGGTGTTGGGTGTGTTTGCTGCTACTCGGGGTCACGTAACCTTAAAGGTCAATGTGTACGTCATAGTATAAATAACAATGGGGGGATTTTGATATTTAATTGTAATTTGAAATAAGGAATTAATTATTCTTTCCAAGGAAAGCTGAGACTTGTCTGATACATTCTGTATTTCTCCTTCTTTCTTGTTTTGTTCTTGCTGTTCAATCAATAAGTCTTGTCCTACTCTGCGACCCCATGAACTGCAGCATGCCAGGCTTTCCTGTCCTTTACTATCTCCCAGAATTTGCTCAAACTCATGTCCATTGAGTCAGTGATGCCATCCAACCATCTCATTCTCTGTTGCCCCGTTCTCCTCCCACTTTCAGTCTTTCCCAGTATCAGTGAGTTGACACTTCTCATCAGGTGGCCAAAGTATTGGAGCTTCAGCTTCAGCATCAGTCCTTCAAGGGAATATTCAGGGTTGATTTCCTTTAGGATTGACTGGTTTAATCTCTTTGCTGTCCAAGGGACTCTCTAGAGTCTTCTCCAGTACCTTCTTATTTCTTTCACTTTTTATTTTATACTGGAAAGTGAAAGTTAAGTTGCTCAGTCAAAATTGCTCAGTCGTGTTTGAGTTTTTGTGACCCCATGAACTGTAGCCTACCGGCTTCCTCTGTCCATGGGATTTTCCAGGCAAGAATACTAGAGTGGGTTGTTATTTCCTTCTCCAGGGGATCTTCCCAACCCAGGGATTGAACCTGGGTCCCCTGTATTGTAGGCAGATGCTTTACCGTCTGAGCCACTGGGGAAGTCCAGTCCTTTATATTGGAGTATAGGTGATTAATGGGGCTTCCCTGGTAGCTCAGCTGGTGAAGAATTGCCTGCAGTGCAGGAGACCCTGGTTCGATTCCTGGTTTGGGAAGATCCCCTGAAGAAGTGATAGGCTACCCACTCCAGTATTCTTGGACTTCCCTGGTGGCTCAGATGGTAAAGAATCTGCCTGCAATTCAGGAGACCTGGGTTCGATCCCTGGATTGGGAAGATCCCCTGGAGGAGGGATGGCAACTCACTGCAGGATTCTTGCCTGGAGAATCACATGGACAGAGGATCCTTGCGGGCTATAGTCCATGGGGTCGCAAAGAGTCAGACAGGACTGAGCAACTAAGCACAGCACAGCATAGGTGATTGATAATGTTATGTTAGTTTCAGGTGTATAGCAAAGTGATCCAGTTATACGTTTACATGTTATCTACACTTTTTCAGATTCTTTTCCCATTTAGGTTGTCACGTAACATTGAGCAGAGTTCCCTGTGCTGTGCAGTAGGCCCTTGTCGGTTATCTGTTTTGAATATAGCAGTGTGTACGTGCAAATAGGAGCAGACTCAGGGAGGGGGGCAATGGCAACATCAACAGCAAATGAAGAGGAGGTGTCTGCGTGAACCTCAAAAGAGGAGTGAGGGGCACCAACCATGGACAATGTTAAGAAGCATGTGGCATCAGAAAGTGGAGTGGGGGAAGCTCAGGAAAGGCCAGGGGACTAGGGACTACTCTCAGAGCCAGGAAACCCTAGCATCTCCATCAGGGGCATACTGGGGCTTTGTCAGGACAGCAGCAGCGTGTGGGAGGGGACTTTGATGGCCCCTGTGGGTGGATGCATGCCCAGAATCCACCGGGTGTCTGCTGGTGTTTCTCCTTGAGTTCTCGAGAACATCAAGCTGAAGCACCTTTTCAGGACAAAGCCTTGTACTGAGTAGACATCTGTGCAGGGCAGGTTCAACAGGGAAAAAGAAAGTCTAGAAAGAAGTGTTGAAGTGAAACAAAAGGGGAAATCTCCATGTGTGTGATATTATCATTTTTGTTTCTTCTTTTTACTTCATGAAAACAGAGCAAAGAACTTTATTCCATAAAGCTATGAGAGCCGTCTTGGTCATACCCTTCTCAAACTACTGAAACATTCCTCTTACTTAAAAATAACCAATAGAAAAATTATTGGTTGAATCCCATACAAATCTGTAAAAAAGAGAATAAGGAGTAGCATATCATCTCTACAGATAATGAAAGCAGATGAGAAGGGGGCACAGTTTTCCTTATTGCAGATTTATGATGCTATATTTGAGAAAACCAAAAGAGTCAGTGGAAATACTACAAACAATGAGAGAAGTTAGATTGCAGATGGAAACATTAATATACAAAACCCAATA